GGGTGTTAAATAAAAGTCCACGCTGAAATGTTCGTTGACTTTCAGCAAAGTTTCACGTCTCCCAGTGAAAAGTGCTGCGTCAACATTCACCCGGAGCTTATGAGATGCTTTCCAATCCAACATCCCGTCACTGTGAAAAAAATAAATGAAAAAACAAAGCTCAGGACCAGAAGCCTCCATGTTATCCATCCGCCCGACCCGAAGAGACGCTCCAATCCTGCAGCGCTTTGACGAAACGGAGATAAAGCTACGACAATCACTGTAAACACTGCCGAGGCATGTGAACAAAACATATTAATAAACACCTTTCAAATTCTGCAGAGTCTAAATGTTCCCATGTGTGGTCAGTGTGTACTCGCTACAGTTGAGTTAGGATTGATCCTCAACATGTGTTACCTACATGGGGTTGATGTTCTGCATCATGATTCAGAACACACTTTGTTTCATCATCAATACATTCTGCACACTGAACAATTTAAACCCCTAACATTGGCAAAGTGGGCTCTTTCAAATCTGCAAAATAACATTATAAAACAATTTTTTATTATTATTATAAAACTTTCCAATTACACATGCCCCGCATATTTAGTTTAGTTTAAAATACAGTAAGTTTACAATAAGAGTGAGATATGTAGCTGTTAAACCCACCCACCCACCAGACGCACAGCCTTCTTCTGTGTTAATGTGCGTGTGTGTTAATGTGTGTGTTAATGTGTGTGTAACTGCAAACATGCTCCGCTCTGTGTCCACAAGTCTTATCCGTCTTCCCCTTACGAAAGCGTCGGGAGCTTAAAAACAACGTGTGGCTGGGGGCGGGGGGGATGTTTTGCCTTAATGTCCGCGACAGTGCAGTGAGCCACTCCAGACATGGGGAGGAGCAGGTGGTACTGGGGTGACACCGATCCCAAGTCTGTTTCACCAGCACTGCAGCAGTTCATCTCCCCCACCCCCCCCGGCGGAGGCTTGTCGGTCGGTCCGGCCGTCCTCCCGTCAGGACCTCCTCAGGCCTCCTCCGGCTCGGGGAAGTCGAGGATCTTGCGGTGGGCTTGCCTCAGGTACTGCTGCTGCTTGAAGTACACCTTGAACGCCCCCTTGATGGCTACGAAGGCAATACCTCCCTGTAGGGAAGAAACAGTGTTGAAAGAGAGCTTAAAGGCAGATTCAGAGTATATGTGGACAATCCCTTCAGATCTCAGAGCTGGTGTGTGGGGCTGCCATGAACAGGAATCTAGCTCACCTGAAGCAAAGTCTGAATAATGTGAATGCAGGCAGGCTGGGGGGGGGGGGGAGAGAATGTCTCTCCCCCAAGGCCTCAAACATTCTCCCTCGACCCCACAGAGCATGTGAGGAAATCCGTCTCCTTGGTGATACTTTAAATTAGGACCCATGACAAACATGAACTTGATGAATAGTTCCTCCCATTAAAACTGCAGAGGCAGAATTGGGTGCTTTGACTGGACCCCGATATATTTTATTTAAAAAGCACCAAAACGGGAACAAAAGGAAGGATGAATATCAGAGCGCTGAGGTTGGTAGGATGAGGGTTAAAGCTCTACAACAACAACATCTATCCAAAAACATAAGTAGCTAATTAACATGGCATCTCTTTTGATAAATCCATATGAAAACAGAAGTGTAAAACTGAATTTGTGTTTCCACAGGGCCGTCGTGCCAGACGTGACCAGGAAGCTTCTAGAGTCTGAGTCACGGTGAGTCAGCAGAGACTCCATGAAGTCACCGCACCTCACCAACCACGCTGCTTTGTTCGTTTGTTTGTTTTAAGAATGATCAGTTGTTTTAATAAAAAGTAACCTAACAACTATTAAAGTGCACATTTTGGAGTAAGACACAATCGTAACACATTTGTGAGTTTTTTATTGATGATTTGCCGTTTGATATTTGCTGTTGTCGGGTAAAAACCATGCAAAATCAATACAGATGATTCTCATGTTTTCTTTATGAACAAAGTAATAAATGTTCCTCTATTAGTGTGAACTGTTGAAACTGGTTTGGATGACTGGCTTTAACAAGAACTTCTTCTTCCTCCTTCCTGCAACGGTGAAGCTTCCTGTCTGTCACTCACAGAGCGAGGACAGAGTGTTCAGTGGGATCACATGACCCGCTCACCTAGTGGTGAGTGAGGAGGTGGGGTTTCTCTTCTCTTTACAGTTAACACTGGTTGAACTGGAATCATTTATCAACTAGCAACGTTGCCGTGAGCACTTCAATTCAGAGGAGACAAAACAAGGGGAGCATGTAGAACGTAGCATTTAACTTACCTGAACACCTACAGAATGATTTATATTCATGAATCATAATCCTCTATAAATAAACAGCAGCCGCTATGGCTTGATTCAATCAAGTATACTTGTAAAACTTTGACTAGTATTTATGCATTTCCTGTATTGGGCTGTACCCACCAGGATGGTCCTCTGCAGGTTGGAGTTGACGCTGCTGAACATGAGCTTCCCCACGATGGTGGCGATGGTGGGGAAGACCAGGGCGCCGCACAGGATCCGCGTCGCCGACACGTGGTCCGCCAGGGGGCTGGCCTCCGCCGGGATGCGAGGAACTGGGCAGCCAATCCCTGCAGAGACGTACGGGGAGAGCAGCAGGGAGCCAGATGAAACGTGCACAAAAGTGGGTTTCGTACCCGAGAGCACGGCCCGTCTGTGAAGCAGAGGGCCGTCGGTTCAACGAGCCGGAGATCTGGTGCGAGTGTGTATTTGGGTGTCCTGACCTGGGAAGATGCTGTTGAGGATCTGCAGCTTGTTGCAGTACTTCCTCCACAGACGCAGCACGTAGTCCTCCCAGCGGATCATCTTGCCGAGGATCAGCATGACGGGGATGGTCGGCAGGCCGATGAGCAGGAACAGAGGGTCGGCCCGCTCCATGACGTCCAGGCCCTCCTTGTGGCCCACCACCTGGAGAGCAGAGGGGCCAGTCAGAATGGAGCAGAGGAGTCAAACTGGTCGACTTTCACTTACAAATAAGGATCAAAGAAGGGAGCAACGGAGGAGCACGTGGGACTGATCAGACCCAACATAAACCCCAAAAGCTCTCATTGGTCACACCTGCATGACAGTGACGGCTCCGTAGGTGACCGCCGTCCAGTAGATGGAGCCCACCATGATGCCGGCAGCAGCGAAGGGGCCGGCCTTAGAGATGAGCCGGTCGGCCAGGTCCAGCACGTAGACCACGGGACCTGATGGAGGAAAAGCGCTCAGAGTGAGAAACTTTACATCGTGCAAATCAACCCGTCAGTGCTAACAGGCCGGTTGAGATCTGTGACAGTCGACATGAACAGCTACATTCAGAACCTGTGGGCCCGGTCTACGTACAGAACTAATCCGGCTCACGGGATGTAGATTCTGTTTGAGACAGAATACTCCTCCCCTTCCTATTTTGCAAGAGCACCGTTGCTGCATCGTGGGCTCAGTGCGATTGGTTTAAAGAAACAATGTTGACTGTCAAAGTTTGTCATTTGACCATTTAAGGCCATTATATTTTCACAAGGTCAGAAACACTTTTGTATTTCTTTAGCAATATTCTGACAATATCTGATGAACTGCTTTAATTCACTTTTTTATATTTAATCCCGCTGAATCAGAGCAGATAGATTTCGGTGAGTCCACACATGAACATCCCATCAATGGCAAACACATTTGTACTGAACAGTGTGTGAGTATTGCAGCACGGGGTCACGAGACTCCTGCAGGTAAAACCACCACTGGGACAAGAAAAGTCCTGGATCTGGAACCACAACGTTTCAGTAAACGGTAACAGAACCGAGGACACAAGGAAGCTCGGCTAAATAAACCACCATGTGGTCAGGCAGCCTTCCAGCGCAACAAATACAAAGAATGACAACAACGCAGTCTTGTGAAAGAAAAGAGACTTTGTATTACAAGGTGTGCACCAAACCCGACTGGCTTCAGAGGTATTGACTGACGGGGGAGGAGCTTATCAGCCAGGGGGCCACCTAGATTCAAAACAAATAGGACGACATGTAACATGCAGGAAAGGATTCATCTGAAGTCCAAACGGGCTTTCAGAGGAGCCAATTCTGACATCAGGAGCAGGACCTTGGAAAAAATAAAATAAAAACATTCTCTGCTGCATTCTCCTCTGACTCGAGGGAAGCCATGCAATATTTACAGGAAGGCAACCTGATTTCCTCACTCAGACAGACCCATCCACATCCTATTAATAACTAGCCCAGGGGTCAGAGGCAGGAGCGCCACACAGCACCGGGCCTGTGTGTGTGCCGCAGTGAGCCAACTGCCGGATAGGAGCCACAGCACAGAGCTGCATTGTCACTACTGTACAGGCCAATCAATGCTGTGCTGCAGCTATAGAAACAGTTCGGGATAGGTCACGTGAGACTTCTGTAATTGACTGTTTAAGCATTTAGCGCCAACACGCTCTCGCCAGGCAAATGTGCAGTTTACAGCGACACCGGGGGCAGATTCACCACTTTAGATTCGTAGTTATTGCTGACTCAGCGAGTCCTCAATTTCAGAGTGTGATGAGTAAAAGTACTCCCAGGACTTGGTGAAAAAACGCCGGCTCCAGCTTACGGTTCTTCTAAACAGAGTAAAAATGTACATCTGGTTAGTCCGAGTAATATACATGTATGATAGGAAGGAAAAATCTGTGTTTGGCAAACAGCGCCACAGGTTTGGGGTTGCTGGATTGTGAACTTCCTCAAATCTAATGAAGAGCAGGACAGAGGTGCTAAAGTTAGCCTCCACTCTGATAGCATCCAGGCCCCACACGGTGGGAATAACACTAGCACACAGCAGATGTGCTGGTTATGAACGGGTCGAGTGACCTGTAATAATGAAGTGAATGTGGAGTAGGAAGCTAGTTAGCTGGACATGCTAACATTGAAGCTTCTGTTTAAATCCGAAGCTCGACAGCTTTCCCAACAAAATCTAAGGACTTCAACTGTGACTTATGATTTTGGTTTTCTGGGGCTTTAATACAAGTTCTGACAAACAAAAGTAAATATAGCCACAAGTGGTTCAAATGTCATTTCAACGGGCTTTCTGACAAACACGCCAGTCTCTTGAGAAGGTTGACATTCATAGTCACATTTCTAAAATAGTGATCTCGACTCGTCTCGCCTGGTTGAGAAATAAAGCAGCGCTGAGTCATCGGTCCTTGTGAAAGCAGGACTCTCACCTCTGGATGCGTCAGCGGCAGATTGATGGATATATCATCCAGTTTCATTTACGCCACATGGATGGTATACAGCAAGTAAAAAAATAAGATCGACCTTGTAGCACTACGGGCTTCCATCACTTAACGTTAAAGGACGACTGTGCTGCAGTCAGTTACAGGCTTGCTGGCAGAGCAGCCAAGTCATCTCCAAGTCCTCAAAGGAGACGTGGACAGATCTAATGCAAACACCTGCAGAGGAAATCAAACCGTAGCGGCTACATTCACATTAGCCTCAACGCAGAGGGTATAAAGGACAGCAGCTTTCTAAAATTAGTCTCCGTGGATATTTTTGGGGTTATGGGTTTTTCACAGTCGCGACATAAGACAGGCTTTATTAAGCCAGAAGTGCTCGACACGAGTCGTACACAATTCAGCCACTGTCACCTGTTCAGCCGAGTACATTCAGTCTATGACAGCTTCAGAGCACAGGTCAGTGCAGCGTTTTAAGCTGCTCTTTAGACAGCAGTGCTCCGGGCCACTTGAGCAGGAAGGAACCCGAAGCAAGAGAGAAGCATTTGGCGCTTTTAAAGCTACTTAGCACGCAACGGAAATATCTCCCTTTTATTTCTAGAGCAGTTGTAAACACAAAAGCTTTCTCGTCCACCGCCGGCCTTTTGATGCTTTCCAGAGCTCGTTTTTTCCTGCACCTGTTTTACGGCGACCGGATTGATCTCGCATTAAAATGGCTTATTTTGATGACAGCGTTGGATTTCTGTTCCGCTTCCTCCCTGCCTGAGCATTACGCCACCGCCCGCCGGAGGGAACTGGGTCGCCCCTTAATGGCTGCTGGCAGGATGGAGAGCTGCGCAATTCATTTCAGCCCATGGCAGCAGATTCCATAAGTAAGATAATTAAAAAAGAAGGAAGGGAGGGAGGGAGGGAGAGAGGCAAAAAAGTGCAATCCCTCAGTAGTGGGCACGCATGCTGGCACACTGTTCCAGCTGGCTTGTTTACTCTCTCTATATAAAAAAAAAAAAAAAACGGAAGCAAGGACACGCCGTCCTCGGAGTTCTATTGCCAGCCAAATTGGCATGATACACTGATATGCTGGCTTTGGCTGCAGCAGGTGCTGGTGGGAACAGGGCCAGAACAGCATATAGCTACCCTACTCTCTGTGGGCCGCAGTGTTGATATCTTCTGTATCTCCTGCGCCACGAGCCGGTTAAAAAAAATAATCAAAACCCAGGTTTAATAGAGAAGGTGATCTGTGGCTCCGGATCAAGCCTGCATCTGATCCGGGATCCCTCCCTCGGAGGCCCAACATGAGTAATGCCCTTTAAGCCGCTAGAAATGAGCTGGCCTCAGCAGCAACCCTGAGAAAATAACCACCGTGGCAGCTTCCAAACAGTGATCCCCGGCTCCACCTGTCCGCAGCGTCGCCTCCACCGCCCAAATAGAAAGCCGTCATCCCCGTGTTGTCGCCAAGCTGTGGAACGGCTATCATCGTGAGGGCTGATTAAAGCCGCTGCAAACACCACCGTTTGAGCCGCTAAAATGATATTTAAAAAAAGGAAAAATATATACCTGAGCTTTAAAGTGTGAAACACAACACACATGGAGCAACTGGCTGTCTGTACAACAAGCACGTCATAAATACCAGGTAGCATCGTCTATATCACTATAATAAAGAATGAAAGAATGGGACAGGAACACTGCAGCAATGATGCAGCAAAACAGACAACGCCGGGGCTCCTCCTGCTCACTTTGAAGTGTCCTGCAGCGAGAGGCTGGAACTCCTCCGACGGCTCAGAGATAGAGGAGAGATTTACTTTTCTGCGTTCATTAGTAATATTCCCATTATTCATCAATCATGAAGCAGGACATGTTGAAGCCCTTTAATAAAGGCCCATCTGCCTGTGTAACAGGATACACTGTGGATTGCTGGAAGACGTACGACAAACATTTACAGCAGAGTGATGGGAGAATTACCTGAAAACTAAACCAGTCACGAGGTAAAACCCATCTATTTGGTAATCTAAGTAACAAACTCAATACGTTGCATACGCGGTTTGACATCATGTAAATCGGCATGCAACTTTTGCATGTGGCTCCACCCCGTGGGAAAGGATCAGGTCTGAGGCACATCCTGTTCCTTCTAGAACCGTCACCATCACAGACCTGAGTGTTAATGACGGGACGTTTAAAGTCACGGGGAAACACCGGAGGACTGCCGGGATTTCACAGACTCATCAGCAGAGCGGCTCCGCTCCTCTCCTCCTCCGCACTGTCAGCCCTTTGATGAGCTGCTCCGTCAGCTCCTCCCGCCGTGACCCAATTCCCCCCCCCCCCCACCCCCCCCCAAGACACATCCAGCATCTCTGCACGGCTCCGTCTGATACTTGTTAACGGGATTAGGGGAAGAGACACCTTTCCCTGGGGATGAAAACCCTCCCAGGCAAACGCAACAGGCTTTGTGCTTCCAACCAACCACTGCTCAACTTCCTGTCCCGATACATTCAGCTGCTGGGGGTTCAGAACATAGCGGTAGGAAGTAACTTGACATCAATGGTTCTGGCTTTCGCACTTAATACAAATGAAATAAATCAAGTTGGCTACAGTAAATGGTAGATGAATTAACCTTGCGCAGGTTGCAAATAGTTGCCATGATGTTGACCGGTAAAACGGGTTTGTCGATGACCGAAGTATTCAAACTATGTTGGCACTGCTGAGTCAGACATAGAAATCAACGAGCCTGGAGCTTTTGGTAAATCACAAAGCATGCTGGTGCTAATGAGGGCATTGGATTAACAGGAAAGAATATAAACGGTCTATTTGTCTTCAGTTATTTTGTTCCTAATGCATACAAACAAATATTTTATTTCCTATCCAAACAGAACGACCAATCACTGCAGTAATTAGGGCTTTACCGAATACTTGACATTTAAATTCTGAATCAACATTAGAATGCCGTGCAGCTTTATATTTTTGTGCATCTATTGATTGGGTTTAAACCCGTATTTCTGCAAAGTTGCAGATGAATATCAAGCCACGCTGATATTATTAGTGTGACATTATTAATAGAATTAGATTCCAGATGTGGCTGTGTAGTAGTGATGCGCTTCTCCTCTCTTTCTCAAACACACGCACTAAGTCCTCACCTACATGTATGTTGACAAAACAGAAGAGTTCTATTCATTGCTAACTTATTCAATCCGATGAATCACTTTATTCAAATTGAGGATTTTGTTTGAGGATATTCCATGTATTTAGGGTGATGACAACGTAAAATATGACAACAGATGTCCAAAGCTTCATTGGAAAACCTCCATGAAGCTTTGAATGTAAACAAAACTAAAGCCGAGAGATTTGGTACAGCCCTAGTCATCATTGGGCCTCATTTATCTTCCTGCGTTTGTTCTTCATGAGACAGGTCATAAGAAAAGTCTGTACGTCAGATTCACTCCCGGTTCCTAAACCGCAGAATGTGTGTCATAATGATGAATCCCATTGTCTGTGTTAATAGAAGGTGTGTGCCAGTTAATCAGAAAGGTAAACGCCCTGCCAATCCCCACAGCAGAGCATCAGACAGCAGGGCCGTGTGCAAATCGAGGAGAAAAGTCTTAAAGGGGGGGGGGGGGGGGGGGGGGCCCAATCATAGAGTAAAAATGATAAATGGTATTGAAATTAGAAAGAACCAGTATGAATTTAGTGGAATAGGTCTGTTCAAATCAAGGAATTAAAAATGTGTGGAACGAAGGCTCTGTGTTGACATCCGTGTACCTTCCATTAGTTGTGGTAGCGTAGCATTCTGCGTCGTCTAACTGGACGGTATGAACATAACTGCTACATATACGAGGTTTCTCTGTTTGACCGAGGCTCAAACTGAAGAGGAACCAAGAAAAGTTACATGTTGATAAAACGCTAACACAGGCCTCTGGTTGCTGGTATAATGTCCTCAGTAAATGAGCCGTAATGGTGGCTAAAGGCCGCTGTATCATTCTCTGAGGGCGGCATCAGTAAGCAGATCAGCAACATGAAAGAGGAAGTTACCCTTTCAAATTAAACCACTGGCCCATCCATTACGATGCTATATTGCTGTTGACCAAACCACATGACAGAAGGAGCACAAACTTAGGAGTGATGAGCTTGAGGTTCCACAACTCCTCACTGTTGTTAAAAAAGAGCTGGCTAAGAATAAGGACATAATGACGAGGCATGCTGGGAGAAAACACTGATGCAATGTGTCTAAACGATGACTTCAGAAGCTACCGCGTGAAAACAGAGACTCAACTCATGTCTTTTAAAGACCGAGCATGTGAGCGAGACTAACATTAGACAACACAAACATGTTTGTGAACAACTCAGATGAGTTCTCCTGGACCGAAATAGAATAGATAGAGTTTGAATATTATATATAATAATAATATAATATATTATTAGAAAATAACTCATAAAACTAAAATAGAAGATACATTAGTTGAGTCCTCTAGAAAGGTTATCTTTGATTTCAGCACTGTATTCTGTGAGGACTAATAAACCCCACACACATTAGGAGGAGGTCCATTGGATCCTGACTGTGATAGATTTGTTCTAATTCAGCCTAAAGAGCAGACTTCCTTTTACTGTGTTGCTTGGCAACCAGTCAGGCATGGCTTCCCTTGATTCAGAGATATATACGCGTGTTTACCCTTTCTGCTTTACATTGATGAGTTTATAAGTAAAAGTTATTCTTTATCTGCGACACAAACACTGGGCACCCAAAGGCTTTTTCCACCAGTGTTTCGCAAACTTATTTTCCGAGAAGCCACTTTTTAAACACGACAATCCATCACACGTTCACAATAAGTGTGAATTTGTGTGCAAATTAACATTTCAAACTAAGTTTTCTGCCATTTCCAAATCACCTTATATTCTGGTAGAGGTAAACCAGCCGTTTCAAAGAGATATACATTTGATAAGCGTGTTAAATACTTAAATATGAGGACAAAAAATAAATGCATTTAACCAGAGTTAACCCCAATCTTTTATTCCTCTCTTCAGTAAAACCAACAGAATGTACTCTAGCTTCTCAGAGTAGTACAATAGTATAAGTAGGCTACAATTATTAGAACAGAAGGAACATTCAGGCTCAATATACTGCAGATATAAAACACAATGGAAGAAATTCTACAAATCTATTTGGCGACCAAAATAACATCTCCTGCAACCCATCTGTGGGTCCCAGTGTTTGGCCCACTTACACTACCCATAATAGTTTAGCAATGTCTCTTTCAGACATGCGTCGCATCCTCGAACAGATGGAGACGCCAAGTGTGTGAAGGGTGGGACCATTCTTTCAGAGCGGGCCTGTTGAAAAGCTCTACTGGATGTTATGTTTTTTTCCTGTATGCAAGAGTTGATGAAGCACTAATTAGCAGTCCTACTGGGACCTGTGAACCAATTAACACACCCTTAAACACAGAGAGGAATAGGCCTGGCAGACATATTCCCAAACTAGCCAGCAAACAGCCATGTGCCAATAATCGGCTCTCAGAGAGCGACACAGAAACCCATCGGGGTTATCTACCTCGGAGCAGGAAGCGATTTAAAGAAGCCGAGCCGAACGCTCCGATTATGGAAGCAAAGTGACTGACTGCACAGCCTCAGTCACCGTTCATATACATGAACCTGTTTACCAGCCGAGCCAGGCCTCCTGCAGACTAGCATTGTCTTGGGGCCAGCTACTGTCTCAAATTGCAACGTCTCTCTCCTTGAGGTTGAACTGGCAGTGGCCCAGTGGCTGATGGGCAACCCAGTGACAACTGTTGACCATTAACTTTAAATGTGTCCAGGTTTTGGCATTTGGCTGCAAAAAGAAAACGTTAGCAAAAGGATAAAACTACGGTATTCTTTCTGCTGTACCTAGACCATTTCTGACAACAAACAGCATGACGGGAAACTGAAAAGCGAGGAGGTTCTGGCCAAATAAACATGGACGTGTATGGCGTGTGTTCACTGAATGAGTCATGGCTGGTGCTCTGACTCGTCAGGATAATTGAGGCAGCCACTTCTCTAAACTGCTCCTGGTCCATGAGCCAGGAGCTGCGCTGTGTAACAAATGAGCGCCCTTCTGTTCCTCGTCAGGCTCAAAGGAAATATTTACCCGGATCACCACAGAACCGTCGCTGGTTTCGGAGTAAATAAACACGCACTCAGGCGAGACAAACTGAATCGCTCTCAGAGCTTCCTGGGTACGGTTGCAGGTGGCAGCTATTAAGAGCGCCCTCAAAGAGGAGCTACGTGGAAATATGCGCTCTAGTGACGCTTCGATGTTGACAACTGGTACAAAAAGAGAGACGTCGTGGCATTTTGACAATACAACAAGTGAAATCCAGAAGTTGGGGACTTTTTTGGCAGTTTCTCAATCTATTTAGGGCTGTAGAGCTTTCTTTTTCACCGTGTTTGTAGTGTAGACATCCCTCACACACTAAAAAGAGTGTGAAACTTAGCATTGCACTCCTATAACAGTCGCAAAGGATAGTTTAAAAAAACAAAATGAATGCAGCAGAACCAGAGATAGTCTGTTCTTCATCACGCATTCTTCTTCCTCGTCAAAACCCACCTACATTACCCACAATTCAACTCAACCGCCGACAGTTCGGCCTGAAATCTGAGCGTTGTTATGCTAGTAGCAGCTTATGTAGGGTCGGGCTTCAGGTCTGTTAACCCCGCTTTTTTCTTTTCTTGGCCCCAAAAAAAAAAAGAAACCACAAAGCTCAGCTAGTGCCACATTATTCTCAAGCTTATCTGCCTCGTCCGGGTTTTTATCCCACGAGATGCAACCCACCTAGTTTGGGAAAGACGATGAGGTATTCTGCATTGCATTGTGGGCAGGCCACGCGTGCCGTGCTGTTGCCCCGTTGCTTCTCGTCCACCCAGCGCTGCAGGCAGGCCTGGTGAACCCACTTGGTGGAGCCGCGGCAGCGACACGGACGCACCCACTCCGCCATGCGGTCATCCTCGTCTGTGGCAAAGCACACCCAGCAGCTCCTGAAAACACACACGGGTGGGATGAAGACAATGAAACACATGCACCCTGATAACAGATTTCTGAAATATTCTGACATTTTTTTGTAGTTGCATTAAATCCCAACACCCCAAAAGAAACCTGAGCTCCCCAGAAGCAACCAAATGTCTATTTTGGGAGGGTGGAGTGGGTGCAACCATTAACATTTCTAATATTGCAATGAATGAAATCAAACATCCTGTCATTGGTCATTTTAAATGTGTGCTCAGGTAGCACAGGAGGTCTGATCCCACTATGGACTTGTAATCAGCTGCACGGGCCTGTCAGCTATACGTTGTTGTTTTTGTTTGGAAGTAGGTTGTGCTTGTTTTTTCTTTTCACATTGAGGCAGGTATGAACATGCGTTTGTGTGGGGTGGACTGGAGGAGAGTGTGAGAGGGAGCAAGCAAGACTAATATAATCTTTCATGTCCCCTTTGAGTGAAAAGCACTTCACTTCAAACAGGACTCAAAGGTTTGGCTTAGATCAGGATTATAACGATAGAAATAAACCGCGATCGATACATAAACCCGAAAGGCAAACTAGCCGTTATGCTGACTGCTTGTCAAGCACATCAGACAGCACAGCAGGAACAGTTCAATTCTCACTCAAACAAAGGCGAAGCATGTCCAGGGCATTATCTTTTAGATCACAATAACATACCGTTTATTATCAAAGTCAATACCTTTTTGAACCAACAGATTCAAAAGAAGGCCAACATTTACCGTACTGTACTCTTGCTTTTCACTGAATATGTCCGCTTGCTTTGCCTCTAGTTTAAGCTACATTCAGTCACACTGCAACTCAAACCCCAGTCGTCCCAGTGCACACCGTATTCTGATCAACCACAGCTAGGATGTGCAGTGAAAGCACATCGGACAAACGAAGGACACAGTCTCTCTCGTGTGCGACATCCAAACAAATGCCTTGTTCAGGACTCAAGCCCCCCCCCACCACCACCACCACCACCACCACACCACCACCACCACAAGCATCCCAACATATCCTCCTTCCTCTCTTCCCACACACAGTGAAGGTAAATGAGGCAGGAAGAGTCCACCTCCTCAAACTGTTGCCTCCTCCCTCACAGGAAAGGAGCCATTCGTATGTTTGGCCCGTCTGCTGTACCGTCTCCCAATTAACTGGACTCCTGAGAACAATACACCCACTAGCTCTCCATGTCAGCCCCACATCTGGGGAGGTAACTTGAGGTCCAAGTTCCCCCGACCTTACCACTTCTCCGACTGTGACACTATATTGCTTCTCCATAATTAATCAGGTGCATGCGACTGGCTGGAAGCTTCACTGCCCCTGTGTGTCGCTGCATGAGGCTAAGTTCAACAATCGAAACCAGTGACACTCTTATTTTAGCTGCTACATACCTGAAAAATATTCATAGGTTAGACCTGAATAATTGATTTAAGAAAAATCAGCAACACCAGACTATGACTACTAGAGCCAAGCTCCTAAACTATGACTGAGGGGCTCCACTGGATCTAATTTAAAAAAAAGTAGGAACAGTGTGACAATTGTGGAAATGGAGAAAAAGAACCAACTCGACTCCAAAATGTCAAGATTTTCCTTAAAGTCGCATTCATGTTCAATGATGCCTGGGACTAGCTTGTTGCTAGGCGATGCCCTCAGGTTCAGGGGCTGACCCATTTACAGCCCGACCATACGCCAGTGACATTTAGGTTCAGAATCACACTGAACCTTGATCAGTTGGCATTTCACTGGATGGATGAAACGATCATTAGTCTACACACACAGCTCCCATAAACCCTGCCATTAATACAATCTAATAGAGATGCATGTTCTTTTTTTTTCTCTGTATGTATATTTTGATTATCATTCACATGAGGACATTTCTGTCACCGACTCTGCTCCAAGTCCATCCATTCCACTGAATACTGCCAGGCCGGTTTGAAACTGGGCCCGGTGCCGGTTGAGGAGTACCAGATGGACCAGTATCTCTTCTCTGACAGGGTTTAGACAACCAGCTGCCTGTGTCCGATAAGATTTATCTAAAGTTTACGATTCCATTTCCTGTCGGTTACAGGTATGCCTGGAATGGCGGAAACCCGTTGCCTTTTCACTCACGAGGAAGTATTATGTGTCTTACCACATCAGAAATAACTTACTGTGGGATTAACTACAGCTTGAATCGCTAAACATGCTCCCAGAATGCAGAAGGTCCCATTACCCTTAAATGCATTTTTAAGAATGTTAAAGGTCTGGTAGGTTTACTGACGAGCCTGTGATCATAAATATTCTGCCAGCTTTTTGGACTTTCTAGTCACTTCAAAGCAACTTTTTCTTGGCCACCTCTAGCAGCACTGTTATTCAGTTGTTAGCTCAGTGAATCCCCACAGTACACCGTGTATATTTTTACACTCCTGCCCCCACAGTTAAATAATGGATGCCAAATCTGTGGGCCCTCCGTCATCGTCGTACTGAGGTCTAGGTGTGCTCCTTTACCGGGACCACAGGGGACTCCTCTGTGAGAGACTGGACGGCCAACTTGGATCATTTGCTCGGGTTGCTGCCTGCCTGCAGTGGATGATTTTCCAACACTCCCTTGGTGCTGAATAAAACATGACGACGCAGGAGAGGAGCCTTGGGGTCGAGGTGCTCAGGTGACACGGCCGGCTGAAGGACCAAGACGAGTCCGACGGAAACATTAACCCTCCAGTCACACTTCCGTCTACCGCCCATCGCCTCTCTGCTTCTGACAGGTATGCGAGCCCGACACTACATGTAATGCAAACTCACGCTTTCTTTTGCACTGCAGAGCTGGATACAGATAAAAAGAAAAATATGCATTGTGTGGCTGTTTCCTACACAGGGGTGGACATCCCAAAAGAACAGCACAGAAATTGAAACTGAGGCAGCTATAAAACATGACGATGCAAAGTGGAGCAGCGGACAGATGTCTCCACAGGAGCACGACAGAGGAGAACAAAACCGAGCGCTCCCTTAGAGTCGCTGGCTCCTGTTCCTGAAACCCGGCCCTGCAGCGTGACAGGACCTAATACAACAGCACCGAAACGCTATCCTCTGTGAGAAACCTTAATCTCCGGCTCGCTGTTGCCTCAGCCCCGTTGAACAGAACAGTCGGGCAGATAAGTCCGAGCTGCACATGCACAAAATGGTGCTCCTACATATTATGCAATGTGTTCACGAAACACACTCGCAACATATTTACACGTCAAAAACGAAGCTCAAACCTACGGACACGTAATGTTGACCGATGCTTCCGCACACCTGACACCCTGTTACTGCTTAACAAGGTCTGGAAGGAGTCCATAAAAATGTCCTTTAAGAAAATGAGATGTGATGGTGGCGAGCAGCCTAAACTGTGCTGAAGCAAGGTGACCTGCCGTCTCCAACACTTATTTACACGTTAAACAGGCAAACTGGAGTGGGGCTTTGCAGTTTCCACAATGGAGCTTTAATTCACTTAATCCTAACAGACTGCTTTGAAACTTCAAAGGCAGGCAAACAGCGGTGTGTATTATCCTTTTTTTTATTTTTTATTTCCACCTCAGCTGAGGACGTCCTTTTGACAACCTAAGAAAGAGCAGAGCTGTATCATGGAGTCACAGAAACACTCTGATGGTGGGCTGTGGAGGAATACAGGAAGACAGCGTTATTAACACTGTGTGCAAAGACGAGTGCAGACGGCATGGCCACTTTCTCATCGTCTAACAAGTCAGGCCCCCGGTCATAAGCCGCCCCACAAAGGCTCCTTTCACTCAGCGGCGGTCACGTGACTGTGGGAAAAGTGGAGGTTCCTCGGCACAAAAGGCGGGGCACAGGAGCACTGGATTCTGTCCCACAAAGATATTAAAAAAGGAAGGTTATGGTCTAGGGGGGCCTTCTCCATGTCCGACTGATTATACTCAATCACCAACTAGTCTTGTCCGTGCCAGCTCAACAACCCGTTTAGGGGGGATTGGAATAAGGGCCGACAATTATCAATCTATTTACATCAACGATAAGCAAGCAGGCTAAGAAACCGTGTCTTTTTGGGCAGTTTCAGGTGCGATTGAGTCGTACAGTGCCCGTCTGTCTGCTCCATTTCAGCACTCTGGACAGCGCCGCACTGTACACGACAATTACGCGGCCATTATTCTGAAAGAACAGCAAAGCAATAGTCACGCGTGTCTCGGCCAATAGTTTTGTTGTTTTTAATACTTTTCTATAGAAAGCTTAAACAGGTCATCAATGAGCACTACATTGGACGATATACAAGACTTGACCAATGAGATTAAACTGTGTAGTCGGGGGACACCCCTAAAAATATACACCCATCAAGAGTCTAAGATTAGTACCTTTAATGCAATAGTTGTATAGTGTTGGGTATTTTCCAAGAGGTGTACAAAATAACCGGGTCTCCTTACAATGTTGTGCAATCGACGACTAAAAGCTCCGGCTTCTAAACTTACATTTGAATCAACACCTTGTAGACAGTGTCAACAAATATATTTTTCTTGCAGTTATGGCTTGTATATTGTATTATCGTACATAATTGTTTTTGACATTTTACAAAAATAACTGAACAGAAACTGACCAGTACGCATTATCCAGGGAGGTGTGTTCATGTTGCTCATCAGCTATTAACAAGAGAGTTAAGTTTGTTTAGTGAGTCAACCGACACAGGAACCTCACAACTCTATTGCTGCTTCAGGCGACTCCATAACAAAGTTGTGTACTTCTACAACCTACAGTGCTGTGACCTCTGTATCATATTAACTCGTAAAGTCCAGGAAAGGGCGTTTGTTTACACTTTGATCGGCCCATGAGTGGCTGGCTTCCAAAGTTAAGAAGACTATATCCAGTACAGGAATTCAATCCATGAATCCAAAACGTCTTCTTTATGGACGTCTCTGGAGTCACGTAATGTAATGTGCATCTTAAATATTCTAGGAATGTTAATTGTGCCATCTGTAAACACTAACAGTATAAAAAGTTACAAAGCATTGAAAGAAGGTTCTATGACACAACCCAGACTTTGAGGCCAATAATGTAAACGGGGTGGCCTTGTGGTTTGAATCACCCGAGCCTGCTAACTAAACCACCGAGCTCAAGACATGTCATTTGGTGTGACCTTTCTCTGAAGCTAAGGCCATGCACCACAGGTTATTTCTGCAAGCTGTAGGTTACCGAGCCATGAAAGGTCTGCTGCTGATCGGGTATTATTTTCGATTTAAAATAAGTCATTAATTGTTTTAAGTTTTGTATTTAACAAAGAAAATGAGCGTCTCTTTCTTATGATTGAAGAGAGTCCGCTCCTCCATACCAAAATTGAATAAATTCATGGCTACAGGGTCAATCATTATCAGCCCGTATGCGCACACACACACAGCACATATTTATATACACACAAAAGGGGTCAGCGATGTGGACAACAAAAGCAGACGAGAAAAGAGTAAAACAAGGAGGTTGAGTGCCAGCCAATAAAAAGGTCAGGCCGAATTGAAATGTGTCCCCCACATCTATTTGTGAAACGCTGCATTGCAGGGGCAGCTGGCTGCTTGTGGCAGACCCAGATAAGAGTGTGTGTGCAGCCTTATGTTTGCCAGTGATAGAGGCTGGGTACACAACCGTCGAGGAGCAGGAGGACGTGACATACATCTTCCTGCTATCAGCTCCTCAAACACTGCCAGGGTTACTGCGTCTGCCACACACCAGCAGCACACGGCTGAAGAACATTTCACACAGCTCACGTGCCCTTCCCTTCGTTCTGCTACTGTACCATGTGCTCGGGAAATGGTTTCAAAATACAAAGTTCAATATTGACAGAAAGTGCTGCCTCAATGGCCTTTTAGTGCGCACTGCACAAGCTGTCGAACGCCAGCAATGACTCTGAGGGAACCGGCACACCACTGTGCTTGGTGGACCTAATGTTACAGCATCTGCTCACCACCACTGACATAGAAGATCGAATATTCTGCTCACATATGACAACGCTTGGAGGAGAGCCATCGTGGCTTTGTCCGACATTAGCCTGGTCAGTTGTGAAAAATGTTTGAGGTTCATCTATGTCCGAGTTCAAATCATCACATCTCACTCTGCAGAGTGCAAATGCCTTATGTGTAGTTTTTTTTAACTATCAGGGGTGAATTTTAGATAAATAATTGAACAAATCGACACCAGAATGTTGTGATCAAAATGGTCTTAATAACTGAAACACCCTGTTTTACAAACACTGAATTTTTACATAAAGATCAAATCCTCCTGAGCTCAGACAGAGGAGGATAACAGGTTCCAATTTTGTGTTTTGAATTGTGTCGTTGTGGCAGCAACCCTTTCGTTTTCCTGTGATCCCAGGCTGAGCTCTTTAATCATATGTCCAATGATCTCCAGCTTGACCTTGGCAGGTAACAAGATAAGGATAAGCTCTATGAATTCAGACCAGTATAATTTAACCTAATGCAGTCTTTGAACTGGGTTAACTGTATTCTGAAAATAAAAAGCAGCAAAATGTAACCCCCCCCCCTCCATGTGACAATTAAACTGTTCAACCTGAAGCTCTGCATTCTGCCAAGCAAGGCTTCAGTCTATCCAGGATGTTGTCAGACATCAGACGACATCTTTGAACTCCTTATGTCAGCTGGAAAATTTGCTTTAAAAGGAATTCACTGACGTGTGTGTGCGAGTGAGTGTGTACAGGTGTTGGACAGCCATGACAGATTGTGTTTGATAGTATGACGAAGAGCTAAACATGTTCAATTAAGTGTCAAAAACACAAAAAGAGTTCATTAAACATCATTTCTCCCCAATGTTAGCTTTGCTGCAGTCTGATGCTTGTATAATTTCATAAAATCTATTCCCATGATGCTTCATGTTTTGTGGTGTTGAAGTTTCAAACATTGATTTTGCCCTTCAATACCCTCACAGTGCAGTTTTCATTGTTACTTTGCCTTTTTTCCCCAGTTTAGTGCAGATGCATTACAAACCTGTGTGACGACACAACTTTGTTCATATGCACAATCGGACATCTTATCAAATAACTGAAGAGCTACTTAAGTTTGGTTATTGTATGCACCGTGGATGTTTACACAGTACGTTTCAGGGGAATTAAAGTAAACTTTCATTCAGAGTCTTGTGCAACAGAAGATAAGCAGATGGTTTCAGTGTCATAATGACTGTTAACTATGAACGTGACATTTCAGAAATCTTACTGGACACAGCATTCTACTAGCCTCGAGGTCAACAGGTAACCAAATGTTTGAGGAAAGTAGAAACTCTGACCTTTAGTTAATTTACGTGCAACAAGGTTATGGTTAAACATAATATAGATGGAGTTACAGGCTGTGGTATATATATATATATATATATATATATATATATATATATATATATATATACACATAATGCTAAGGATAATATGGTCATAGTGATATGCAGGTAATGTTATGAACGTCACTAAATGCAGTGACATTATGAATCATATGACAGAAGTAGCAGAGGACGTCACGTATCAACAACTATGCTAGGCTAGTAGGGATTTTACGTAAAGCTACGTAGCTGCCGTTAGCAAGTTAGCCATAAACTTGAACTCACCTGTCCAAATTCTGCTGCATGGCCACTGCAGCCTCTTCCGCCATTATCGTAGAAGAGCAAAGAAAAACTGTCTTTGTTGGCGGAGCAGACGGACTGTATTACAAATAAAACATTAAAATGAGACGCGTGTTGAGTTGCTGCAGGTGTGGTTAGCGTTAAATCACTTGCTAGCTAGCTGAGGAACTAAAGCTAACTAGCTACACAGGCCTCTATGTTGATACGGCGAGTAAGCTGCAAATGAGCCAAAACGGGTACGCATTTAACTATTCCTTCTAGAGAGCATCTATCTGCGACCGATACACTATTACCGGTAAAAACAGCTCCCCTTTACATCGGCAGCGGTCTCGTTTTGAACTAGTACTATCGCATTGGCGTGTCCGCTTGACTCCATTAGCTGCCCGTCTCTGAAGGTAACGTGAAATAGGACTGCTGTGCGTGTCTGCGTCATCAAAACAAGGACGGCGCAGTCCACGCGCATGGGAAATGTAGTTTCACAATGCTTCCCTACCTCTTACGGCCAAAAATATCCAATTAATGTTCTGAATCCACTCCCGGCAGATGTGCCAAAGAGTGCCACGGCTTCTTGAAGATTACAACCATCATGAAGATGCACATATGGCTACAGAACACTTCTATTAGCGGTAAGATGTGTTAATAAGGCTACAATATAAATAGACAAAGTATTTGCCTCACACCTTCCCTGCTTGTCTTTAGTTGGATATAGAAGTTTTTTTTTATTATGTGAACTTAAGCTTTCTTGCGAAATTAATGTAAGCTCACTGTCTATACAAACCATGCGTGTGTGTGTGTGTGTGTGTGTGTGTGTGTGTGTGTGTGTGTGTGTGTGTGTGTGAGAGAGAGACGCTGTTACTATCATTCGTCACTATCTTTATTATTGCTGCTTCAAGGAGTTGCCTCGAGCTGCTTTGAAACTGATGCTTTTTTTGTTTTGTTTCTGTTGCCACAGCAGTGAAGAATATAGAAGATAGGCTATAGTGAGAACTACAACTCCCTACAGTCCCCTCGGCATCATCCATGCGCCGCAGTCAATCAGCTGTTGAGGCAACTGCTGACTACCTCGGCACAAGGGTAGCTCGTTTGTCATATCTAAACCCAGACGAGGCAAACAGAAATATCTTTATTTACACAGTCCCAAAAAGGTGAACGATAAAGGTAATTCAAATTGCCCATAGGGCAGTGAAGCGACCACGCTGTGTGTGTGTGTGTGTGTGTATGCGTTTTTTTGTTTTTTTTTGTCGTTTGTGTAGAAGGGGACACATATGGATTAAAGGGGGATTTCGAGGCAAGACAGCTTCATGACATGTATCGGATGAGGAATCCGATCAGCGCAATGAATGGGCGTTTGATTTTGGCAGTGTTTGCGGTGAAGGGGCCGGTGAGTTGAGCCGCTGTGGGCTGCAGATTATGCCGTTTTGATGACCTTGGAAGCGCAGCTCTTGGAGGAGAAAACACGGGTTAACCGGTGGGGTGTGTACGGTGCTGGCTATTGCGACTATACATTGAAAGTCCAACTTGTAAAACGACCCGGCATGTCATCCGAAGTGTTATTTTCAAAGTCCACAGACTATTACATTCGTGTCACTGACAGGCCTCGGTGTTAGCTCTCCTACCCGTGTTGGTGTGGGTTTTAATTTAACGCAATTCTAACGTTGTATTATTTGACACTGTGTCCTGTCTTATGTGGTTGTGCCTCGCATGTGCCTCCAGCTGACAAATGCTCACCTCGAGACGATCAAGCATACTGTGGTCTATTTACATTTTAGATTGTCCTGCTCACTGTTAGCATTAATAACGTGGCAAACTGTGGCTTTCTGAATGCAAAATCGCCCTCCTGATAGTACTCGAGGGTGTATGCAATTTGGCTTTTTTTTGCAAGGCGTTGTCTCTCAAATGCAAAGTAAAGGAGGATTTTTGCATGGAATGTTCTACAGCCTGCTGTCTAACTTTGAATAGAGGACGTAGAGCTTTCAGCCTTTAAGTTATTCAAACGCAAGAAGCCTATACATGTTTTTTTGTCTAGTGGCAATGCCAACCCCGTGGCTGTGTCAATGCGGACCTTGGGCAGAGTCTCTCTTTGCGCTATAATAAAATCTCTTAGCCTATAAATCATATCATTCCTGTATGGACTTTTATATTGAGTGTTACTCAATTGACCAATCAGAATTATCCTAATTAGTAAGCTATTGATGTTTTACTTGTTGTGCTAAATTATTAAAGTCTATGACTGACACATTCTTTATTATAAAGGGAAAGGTTTTGCCGGTACATATGAGACGTCTTTGCGGTAAAATAAAGTGCTTCAGGCGCGTCGCTTTCCACTGCGTAAAGAGGTGCCTTTTGGTGCAAGTCATTTCCGTTTGACAAAACAAAAACAAACAATAAAGCTCTGTGGTCGCGTGTGTCAAAGTGCCTGGGTCAAGGTAGACCTGTCTTTTAGCTTTGTTGAAGGACAGCTGTATTTACTGACGTATGTAAATGAATATAGGGGAGGTCCTAGGGCAAACACACACACACACACACACACACACACACACACACTGAATCAGTTTCACATTGCAGCTCCGGAGTTCCTGCGTGGAAGGAAAAACCGAGACGTGGCGAAATCTGGTGAATATCCGCAGCCATATGCTCCGTGTGTAATTTGTGGGATTCATGGATCCCTCTGGTATAGTCTTGGGAAGTGTGTTTTCCTCGTCTTCTTCTTTTCGGCTAAATGGGTGATCACGCACTCGCGTCGCAGTTGCCCGGTCCCCCACCAACACCATATCCTTGTCGGACTTGTCCCAGCTCATCAGATACTACAGCAGCCCGGCGCGCGAGCTTCTAAATTACAACAACAATAATAATAATAATAATAATAATAATAATAATAATCCTCGTCTCTGTTTTCCCCCTGTTGCAGCTCAGCAAACCATGCAGGATGATTTACTGATGGACAAAAACAAAGCCCAGCCTCACCATCAGCAAGATCCGACGCAAGTAGACCCCCCTCCCTCCACCCCGACCCCGTCATCGGAGCCCACTTCTTCTTCATCGGAGTCGGAGAGCCCGTCGACCGGGAGCAACCAAGCGGCTTCAGCGCTGAACAGCAGCAGCAAGGACAAAGTGCCGATGGAGTCGCCGATCCTGCCCGGGTTGAGCTTCCACCACCAGCCGCAGGAGACCGGCGGCCCCCTTTCCTCGCCGTCCTCCTCCTCTTTCGGGAGCACTTGGTCCACGGGAACCACAAACGCCGTGGACGACAGCTTTTTCCAGGGAATACCCTCGGTGAACGGGACGATGCTTTTCCAGAACTTCCCCCACCACGTCAACCCGGTGTTCGGGGGTAATTTCTCCCCGCAGATCGGTCTGTCTCCCCAGACCCAACAGCAAGCCCAGCAAGCGCAGCAGCAGCAGCAGCAGCAGCAGCCCCAGCAGAGGAGGTCCCCCGTCAGCCCCAGCCAAGGGCCCTTTCCCCAGAGAAACGCTTATCAGACCATCATGAATAACAGCAAGGGATCGTCCTCGTCGTCGTCTTCTTCTTCTTCTTCTTCTGCCTCGTCGTCTGCTTGGAATAATCACCAGAACGCCGCGTGGAGCACAGCCTCCAACCCCTGGAGTGGGCTGCAGGCCGGCAGGGACCCACGCAGAGCGGTTGGAGTCGGTGTCGGGGTCGGCGTCGGGGTGCCGTCACCCATGAACCCCATATCCCCGATGAAAAAGCCCTATACGAGCAATGTCATAGCTCCCCCCAAGTTCCCAAGACCTGGTCCCCTCGGCCCCAAGCCCTGGATGGATGACAGCGCCTTCAGGACTGACAACAGCAACAACATACTGCCTTTCCAGGTAAATAGCCTTAAGAGCAGGCCTATAGGCCTACCTCTATTGCTTTCAGCCTGTCATTTAAAAATGTTGACCCCCTTGACGTGTTGTCAGTTTGACCCATCAAAAATATAAATTGTTTCCAATATTATATTCAGATATTCAGATATGCCTGGGTTAAAATAAAATAAAAAATGCCTACAACTAAGTAGCCTATCCTTAAGGTCACCCTGAACTCACTGATTCATTGGTCCCTATATCATAGTGATTGATCTTATTATGTCATAGTCAACTGGGGGAAATATCAATCCAGAAAATACATTTTATCGCATGAGTCATACACATTGTCGTTTTCCATAGTTATTATAGGGTTATGCCTTTTTATAAGAACGCGACTTCAGAGGTCACTCATTGAATTGATTTCGATAATTCAGCATTCAGCTGCCGGTAGCAGTCAATATTTTTCACCCGGCTTGTATTCTGCCACATTGTGTGGTGGAGGTCAAAGAAAATCGAATGAGACAGCGAGTTGTTGAAGGAACGCGCATCGGTCTCTGCTATTTTTACGCATTTGAAAAGGCAGACGCACCGAGTCGGTCCTAGAAATAGTCGCTGAGAACGAGCATTATTGCACTAAACGGTTAAATTCCCTCTGCCAGCTCACTCCGTGAGGGTTTAAAGGACGCGTGGCGCATTCAGGTGCCGCTCGTAACCTTCTAAATTACCAGCTCGCCCCGGTGATCAGGAAGGATTTCTAGTTTTTCAGTGACGTGTGTTTTATAAAATACGATAGAGTAAGCTTCAGAAAGAACGTGCAGCTGAACGGTACATTTTACAAAGTATACACAAGCTACTCACTGTGTGTAGAATTCATGGCAACTATTAAACATTGATCACAAGCTCATTATTTGAAAAAACTCACTAACATAGCCTTGTAATAGTAATAGGTACTACAAATAATAATAGTAATAATGGTAATGATAATCATGTGATTGTGTTACCATGCCTTATAACTAACAACATCGTTGGTAGTTCAGGTGCGCTCTACTTGTAATACCAAGGTTTTGGACTGTACCTGAAGGCAACACCCATACGTGCATTTGATTGGCTTGTGATCGGATAATGGGCGTGGCTTGATTATGAGTTTGAGACTCCTATAAATTATTATATTAATATATTCCTTGTGTCCACTTTTCTTTTTTTTGTGGGGGGGGTGCATTTACAGTCGGAAGAAGCCAATAATAAGCTCTTGTTATGCGTTTCAACAAAATATTTAACAGTAGACCAATTACAAAAACAACAACTTTTGGCTGTAGGGCCCTATCACATACGTGACATCATTTGTGAGCTACTTTAGCGTAATACGCCCACACATTCAAATAGGAAAGGGCCAGGATGCCCTGTCTATTATTTAAATACAGAATGAGTTCAGTTTGCATTAATTTCCGTCGGCCATCCGGCCTCCATTGACATGTCTGACTCCAGAGTAGACTACACGAACAGTCCCAATACTGTATGTGTAGTCATGCTTCCTGACAAACAAGCCAACACGATAAGCCAGCTGAATACTCCCCCCCCCCCCCCCACCCAAAACAGATGTACATAATGAATA